AAAAAAAAAAAAATGGTTTGCGAACAGGAGGTTTTAACAACTGTGTTATTGTAATATCCATCAAAAATAGGAATTACGCTAAAATTAGAAGGTAAAAGGACTTTTTGACTCAACATTTAATGACTCAACATTTAGGTGCTTCAGAGCAACTATTTTACTTGGATTTATTGAAGTATTTGGTAAAGGAGCTTTTGCGTTGCTTAAGGGTCACGTTATTCAACTAATTTTAAAACTGTTTAGGATGCTTCAACTTCTTTTCATGTAATTTAAATATTGCAGGTTGTTTGTGATCCACCATGTGCGAATAACGGCACTTGTGTATTTGTGAATGGAACCACTGTTTGCCATTGCGTCAAGGGGTTTTATGGAATTAACTGTAATGTTATTGATAGTTGCCAAGAGTAAGTTTTTTTGATTGCTATAAAGCTGTAACTACTTTGTGAAAACAATCATTTTTAGTATTTCTGTATGTTCATCATTCGGTCCACAAGCCCGGTGTAATATTGACAAGGAGAGTTATTCCATAATATCACCGAAGCCGATTGAAGCATCTTACACTTGTCAGTGTCTTGACAGAAACAACCGTATGTATTACTTTGTGGTTCTCGTCATTTACCATTTCCCTCCTTATTCAACTGCCTACAGATTATGCATCAATTAAAACATTTTGACAGACTTCTGAAAATACTCTTCAAAAATGGTGATTGCTCGAAAATAGACTTCATAATTGCTACAGGCTGGGTGGACTGCAGTGATTTAAGTTCGGTTAGCAGCATACCGCCTATACTTCCGCTACCAAGGCCGGAGGTTGCACCATCCACCTTACCATCGACAGTGGAAACAGTTACAGTGAGCACTACAAGCAAACTGCAAGAAACGACAATAGCTGAACAGTTCTCTGCCATAACTCCAGTGCAAACAAACTTTGCCGCTACAACTGCTCAGTCATTCAGCGAAAACAGTGGTGAAAAATTAGAGAAACAGCTCTTACCTGAGAACAGTGCAGTAACTCATCTATCTGTTGAAGTACAGTCAACATCACCGTAAGAGTTATGACATGTCACGTTATATGTATATTCTTCCTAGCTTGTTTAATGCCTATTTTGTTACAGGCCTACAGACTTAGTGTCTTCAAATGTTCACAACGTTGTTTTTCCGTTGTCCTTTTTGCCTTCAACGGTTGCAACTACAACAACTGCCGTGCCGGAGATATTGATGCCGAAGGATCAAAGTGGAACTTCTGCTACTGGTCCACCAATTATAAATAATGACAAAATGAAGCAAAGCTCAATTAGTGTGTCATCTTCCGGTTCACTCCATTCATATGGGAACCTTACTTTCCCTCTTGCTAACGTTTCTTCACCTGTAAGGTTACCATCACAATTAAACTTTACTGATGGGCCGCCTGTGGGTGAAATTGAAACGACAACTTTGCAAACGGACAGTTATGAAACTGTAGAAGCTGCTACAGATGAAAACGCTTGGGGCCATAACACAGTGCTGCCGGGTAAGTACAGCGCATTTAGTTAAAATTTTTCAAATTAATTAGGTTGCCGTTAGGTTTAAAAAGTTCCTGACGATTCACATGGTTAGAATTGGAAGAATAAAATTTGAGCCTTAATACTGATTTCATTGTAGTGTTCTCGCAGTAAAACTTTTATTAATGAGTACTGAAAAAAGAAGTGTTACAGCGTGGTCGGGGGAGCAAACTGTCTCCGCGAAACCTCATTTAACGGAATCGACAGCTCATGAATTTTGGCCTGAACATTTATTAACCACAACTGAAAAACCTCACGGTGACCTAAGTGTGGAGATGCCAACTAGTTTTATTACTGGGAAAGAAATACGTCTAACAACCGAGTCTACTTTGGAAGAGCAGTTTACATTCCCACCTTGGCACAAGCCTATCGATTTCACGGTAATTTTTAGTATAAATAAATTAGTCTTTGCCAATTGAAAAATTAGTATGTTATACAATGTCCTTGAAAATTTTGAAAATCTAGGACTTTAAAGCACATCTGCTTGGTAGTTGTTTTCTAGTATGTTTTTTACAAAAACTGTCAGGTTTGAAGCTCCCATATCTGTCTTTCCCAAGAATAACAAAGTCTTTTACTAATCAACTACGGGGCTCGTCAAGTTGTACAGATTTGCTGTAACCTGCTCATTTCTGAAATTCAGACTTTTCTGAAGTAAATTGTAAGATATGCTATATTAAACTATGGCTATTTTCTTTTGAAGCGATATTTGAGACTCATTGTCTTTTGTAGCTTTAAAAATATCATTTAAAAACCACAAATGGCTTGCAGGAGGAGCCGAAGTCACACTTTTATGGCGACAAGACGGAACATCCTTTAGTCACGTCTTTAGAACCACTGACTGAGCCAGCTTCAGAAGAAGAGGAAACTAGTGAAATTTTTTCAGAAACCACTACTGCTGGACAATTATTGAGCAATGAAATTACTTCAACTCAGATTTTGCCAGATACCGAGGTTACAGAAAAAAAAAACAAAATTAAAGCTGGGAGTAAAGCAAGAGAAAATATGAAGGGGTCCTCCTCTTGGATTGTAGCTATGGTCGCCATTTTGAGTAAGTTTGCAAGTTTCCTCTCTTCTTCCATTGTTATAATACGTCTGTTCAAGACGTCGTTTTTCATATCTGCATGTAAAAAACTGCAGTAAAACGCTTTTAGGAGTTTAAAGGGGAGTATTCTAGAAGGAGAAAATAAAAATTTTTCTAGTCACCAATTTTTTGGAAATTATGTTCTAGTATTTCGGAGCACTAGTGTCGGTTATCTAGTCTGTCTTTCCCCAATATCTGTTAATTTCGATTGTCAATGCGGTTATGAATGAGTCATGCTGCTGATGTGCTGAACAAAGATTCCAAATAATTGCGTTTCAAATGTCTTTTTTTGCTCCGTTCCTTTAAATCGTCTTGTAGCAGTTGTTGTTCAACTCAACTACTGACTAAGCTACATTAATTGATTGTATTTGTCGTACAGGGCTTTAGGCAGCGAGTAGTGATTCGTTTGCCGTATTTCGAGAAATCGTAGATAGCTCCTCTTTTTTTTTTTAGGATTGGAAGAACTGTTGTGGTGGGAAGGTATAATTGGTGTAGTATTTTTGCCTTTGAACAATTGATGCTCGAGGTTTTGAGCCGGATTTTCCTATAAATTTTGGCTGAGAAGAGCTTGAGGAAGCTACGAGACGCTTTATGGTTCTTGTTTTCAGAAAAATTTATGTGCTGTTTACTGTTGTGGTGGGAAGGTGTAGTGGATGTAGTATAACATGATATTGAGTAATATGTCACGTCCGTGTGCTCAAAAGTGGTGTAGTTACTGTGGGTGTACTTTTAGTTCCTTGTTTTCGCTTTCCTGGCGAAATTCGGAGCACGGTTCATCTTTTCCTATTTTGCTAGTGAACCTACCAATTAATTGCTACTTAATCAATTTCATTTGGCATATAGACGATGAAAGCCTATTCCTCAACCAGTACTTTTTCTAAAACAGCACATCTACTCATCAAACCAAGTAGAACTGTAGAACAGCAAAGGAGTCTTTTTGAAATCTCTTTTCTCATTTCCATCTATGCAGATGATGGCTGCAGGCTACAAAACACATGTTGAGATTGAAGATGGAACAAGTAAATGTTCTTCTGATTTGTAAAAGTACATCTTTTCCAGAGATTTTCTCTGACAACTTTTCTACTTCTTTTTCTCGTTAAAAAAAGAGGATAGCTGCTCGTAAAAGCCTGTATGGACGAGACATATCCAAAAAAAAGCAACAAGCAAGCAGATTAAACTACCCGCCACTTATGGAGGGTTTCGAGTTTAAAAGGTCTTATAAGTCCACTCATAGATTTCCTGCTACATATAAGTACCAGTGGGGCATTTTAAAAACGGTGTTGGGCAAAAATATAGTTCTGGTGTGCCTTCTTTAATAATAACGCAAAGCTAGTTTAACATGCGTGTAAAGTCTGCTGTGTAACGCGCGTCTAGGGAACCCGTTCAAAAGACCTGGGCTGATGCATAGGTTCTGAGGGTGGGTGAAGCAAGATCAAAAGTCGTACTTTTTTACCGAAGAGCATAGTTTCTGGTAGGTTTGATAGGGTTCATTAAAAGAAATGTGTTTATGTAGTTTTTAAACAAAGTTGCATTTAAGTAAAGCTAGAAGTCGTTAGTAATAACTATCTATTACAGCTTTGTTAATGCTGCTTGGGGCAGCTGGGCTGTTCGTCCTTCGATACGTGAAGAGGAGCCGTAAATTGCATGGCAAATACAATCCTGCCAGAGAAGAAAACGCTCTTTCGTCAGATTACTCAATGCCAATGACAACCGTTCCGAAGGAGGAGCGGTTGATATAGCGGCTTTCAGTCTGAATATACGCCTTTAAATAAAATTGTGTTTCATGCCATGAAACTAGAAAAAATGAAGAAAAAGTTAATTACAAAAGAGAATAAGGATTTTGGGCAAGGTCACATTTTCAAAATAGAAACAAACCAAGAAAACATTATTGTAGGGGCGAAGGAAGTTCATATTTTCGTCTTTCTTTTTTTTTCTGATGAAATTTTCAGGTTTAAGCCCATAAGCGGTGGAAATTCGCGATCGCACACAATTTACTACATTTTTATTGAATGGAGAAATTTCTACAGGTGCCACCGCCAAATTCTGCCAAAGAACTTTTTAACCATCGAAATCTGTAGGAACGAGAATTGAGTCAATTTTGGTACTATTCTCCCAGGATCGCAAGTTTTAGAGACGACTAGTTCAGAAAAATTCAGCAGTGATCTTTCCGGTTTGCAGTGCCGAAAAGATAATGCCAAAACTGACTTATCTTTCGCTAGCACAAAATTTACTGGTGAAAATGTTTCACTAAGTAGAATTTGGTTTTGGCAGTTTCAAAAATTTTTTCTTTTGGCGAAGGCAAGATGTGTTGCCGATATTGGCGAATTTCTACCTAGCTTTACGGGCTTTTATTTCTATCAAGAAAAAAAAAAAGAAAAACTAAGAAAGGGAAAGTGAAATAAATCTGCTCTGTCTTTGAAGTAGAATCTTTTAAATTTTACTTTTTGCTTTAAATATGATCATTTAAATGTTCGATGATTCTTTTATTGTTATAAATTCCTTAAATTCCTTTGTTTTTTTCAAACAAAACTGAACACAATTTTATCTAAAGTTATGTATTTTGTTCTGTATGCCGATGCCTTAAACTTCTCGCTCAATACGTTTCGCTGTGTTGATGTTAGCCTGTTTTAATTGTTTTTTTACCAGTTGTTACGGGCCTTTGTTTCACATCTGTGTGGTCTATAGTTGTTGGGAAGTGTCACAGACTTAAAATATGTAATTTTTAATGGCTGCATTTGCAACTTTTTTGGAAGAGGTTTTACTTTTTGTTATGTTGGATTACTTAGTTTACCAGTAGGTATTGTGACACCTTCACCTGTTCTGTTAAAATTTGTAAGCACATAAGATGTTCCAAAAGGTTTTTAAAATTTTATACAGTATATATTCTAAATATTTCTATTAGTGAGTCGTTGTTTGAACTACGGATGTTTTTTACGAAATGTGATTCTGGTTTTTGTCCGCTGAAAATGACAGCAAAGTTCATTTTTGGAGATTCTGTAATTATTTTTTAAGAGTCTCCGACCTTAATGTGCATTCCATGCTCTCAGAAGTCTCAACACTTTGACATTTCCAAAATGACAAATTTCTAAATCTGAATGTAGGTAACGTAAATTGCGTGGAAGCGTTTGTTGCCTTGTTTTTCCTGGTATCTATAAATAAGACTCAATGCCTTTGTCATATATGACATAAACGAGTAAAGTGTTTACCGTACATTTCCAACGTGATACAGAGTTTACAGTTTATGAAAAAATCTTAATTTCAATACTGGCGGCGTATACTGTGTGTGACCACCGACAAATGGTTTGGTATTTTTGAACGTAGTGGCGAACCTTTCCATTACTTTTGTTTGCTTCATTTTTGGTTTTTATAGTTTTGGAAGTAGAAAACTAAGGTAAACAACAACTTTCTCTGCGCCAAATATACGGGAAAGATAACTTTTTGCAGTAGCAAAGTTACAAATCCTGAACCAGCTTATATATAATCTACAGATACGGTACATCTGCAACTAAAATACTGGTTCTATCTTTTCAAAAGATGTAGATAAAAACGTTAATTAGGATATATAAAACGTTGAATTGCAAGAAACGTTGTCGCAACCTGGTTGCGGTAGAGATAATCATAAAAGAATTGAAGTATAGATATATCAGCGTCGTCAATAGCCATTAAATTGAAAATTTGGAAATAATTGATAGGTGCTTTAGTGAAGGTGATTCTTGAGACAAATTTTTACTAGCAGTTATGTTATGTAGGTTAAAGTATGTTAGAAACTGGAAAAAAGTTGGTAAGGGTTAATACCAGTTTAAGCGAAAACTCTTCAGCTTAATAAGTCAAACTGTTAAAAAATTAATGTCGAAAATGAACGCATCACTGCTTGAAAAGTACCACGTAAATATCCAGTATTAAAACACCTTTTCCAATAATTTACTAAGGATCTTTCTTGGAAGCTTCAGAATATAAAAAGTTGTAGAAAAAGTAGAGAACAAGGACAACAGTAATAGGGTAATGAGGTGATTAGAAGAGGAGAACAGAGACCAGCAATAAAAAAATATGCTGTAAGTGAAATTTTTAGACAGAGAGAGGAACAGTAAAAAAGTTGACAGAGAAAAAGAACCTTAAATTTATTTCGCCAAATACGAGCAACCTTAAAACTTGAAAAGGAACAACTGGTCAGCTAAACCAAAAGTAGTTTTGGAAGAAGAGGGTATCTGATTTAGCTGACTCAGAGTAATGCGTACTATTTTTGTGTTTGCTTATTTTGTAAATCTCTGTTGCGTTATTTGCAAATGCGAAAAACCAAAAAATTATCAACCTTCTTGGAATTATAAAGTTTTCTGGTGTGAAAAAAATTGGACAGTTATTCAAAAAGGAGGTAAAATTGATTTCTGGATTTAATGTTCGGTGGAGGAAAGGCAAAAAGATATGCAAAATAAAGCACTAGCACAAAAATTTTTGTATGTCATGTGAGCTGATTGTTCAGGAACGGTTTTAAAACGTCAGTGTTGAACTTGATTGAAGCAATGTTTTTTTTTTTCGTTATCCTTTGTTCAATGTCTTCTTTGAAAAAAGTAGCTTTATTACCGGTTGAAGGTGATAATGTTATTATTTTTTTAAAGAAACAGCGCTAGAACTTGCGGAAACGAATTGGCATTCCGCCATTGTAGAGTACTTAAGCGAGCAACAGAAGCTTCATGACCCAGGACTGTATTACATGTGTAGTCGTATCTCTCTCTTCCTTTTTTGCTTTTTTCATTTAAATTCTTTTTAATTATTTTCTCATTTCACTATAAATGCTAAAACGGTTTCTTAGGAAGCAGAAGACTGTGTTCATTAAGATAATGGCTTGTAAGAGAGACCTTTGCAAAGAGTCGAAAACACGGTTTTTTTCAGACAATCTACAACACTCTACTTGGATAAGAAAGGAATTGCCCATACTTCCCAAACAAAAGTGAATGCATCTGACAAAAATCTCGCTAAGTCATGCTGAACGCTTTGTTTTCTCAAATTAAAGCATGTTGCGAGCTTAAATAGAAAATAACCTCTTATCCAGTTTAGCTTTTGTGAATGAATCAAAAATTATAACAATTTGTTTTAACAGCAAAAAAGAAACCGAGAAGATATAACCAAACTTTAACTATCAAAATGAAATTAAAAGCAGTTGAGTAGACCAATGGAAATGTCGAATCTTTATCATTTACTGGGATTATTTCGTTTAAACAAAATACACAGCAAACTTCAATTCATATACACAGAGAACTATAACCGTTAAAAATTTAGAAAACAATTTAATGGTAGCAGAAAAAAGTCATAAATATGATAGAAAAAACTAATCTATAGCGCCTAATTCGCACTGGAAGCAACCACGTTAAAGCAGTAAAAGCAAAAATTAGACTGAAATTTAATTAGTAACATCACTAAAATATAACTCTGAAAAACTGTATCGACCTCCAAGCAGTTTTACGACTGCTTATTTAATTCACATCCTGAAATACAGTGTGTAAAAACATTATTACTTGATACGCTTCACATCTAGCTTACATAAATAATGGCTGTCAACTAGAAACAATAAAAAGGTCTAGTAAAATGAACTTCAGTACTATATACAGCGCTTTGAAACTCCGAGTTTTAATTCAGGCATTAAAGTTAGCACAGTGACAAAGAAAAGCCTCTTATTTTATATCTTCATAACCAAAATACTTTTAAATTAAAAGTAGGTCATTTTTAGCTTATATAGGGATATCCATAAAAAAAAATGCAGGAACGTAAAAGCAGTACACTATTTAATCATTTTGCAAGTGCACATCCGACTAACAGTGTGGAACGCTCTCCATTTGTTTTGTAAAATGAAACCATATAGAAATGTTGCTCAATTCCTGGTTCTTTTCACTAAAAACTCAATCCTGCCCAACTTAGACAAACCTCAAATAAACATTATCAACTCTGGTTTTACTACTGCTGGATATAACTGAAGAAGTTGAATTGATTATAACTGCTTGCTCGATTAGCAAATTCAGTGCGGAACAGAATACTTCATTTGACAACACTGACACGAACGGTAGATGTTAACTACTACTATCACCAAGTTAGCTGTTGGTAGTAGATTACGTCACTCTCAAAGTAGTGCGGTCAAAGTCTTAAAATTCTTATAGATTATCATCGAAACCTTCAAAAAAACAGTCAAAAACCATTTGTAGAAACCTCAGGTACGTTCCCTTTTCAGTTGGCAGTTCTCCGTAAAAATATAGTATTGTGTCAAATAAAAGATTTAAAAATTAAGAAAAGATCATTTACTTCAAAACAATACGACCTTAGCACTAATTTGGCTCGTCCTCAGCTAACAGCTGTGCGTCCAACTTTGCTCGCTCAAGCCGAACTTGCAGTAGCTTTAATCCAATTAAACGATTCCGTTTACGCAAGTGATTCCTGAAAACTCCAAATGTCCAGTAAGATTCGAAAAACCACAGAATTTAAAAATGACTTACAAGACTCCAGACGTTACTTCTGGACTTACGTCTACAAACCAAATTTTATTTAATCTGCCATTGATATCAGATAAACTCTTCTGTAGTTCATCAATTCTCGACTGTTTCAAAGGTACTATAAAATTGAAGCATTAAATTTCCTGCCTTTAAAGCGCCAGTTTTCCGATGTCAATTTCCAATTTCTAAAGTCAAAAAAGATTTTTCTCCAATACTGTCTAATCAACAGACACTATTTGTGTGGCTATAAAAAAAAGAGAAGTTTAGCTTACCCTGACTTTCCAAGTCCTCCTTCTCCTTTAACAATGCAGTCTCAACTTCCGATGCTTGTTCAAAGCGCTAGAAAAACACATTTACATCTCCGAATACAAAAAACGACAAAGAAATTCTCATTTACGAGTAAAATTTAAGCTGCTTGCGGCAAACAAAAGATCAAGAAACACTGTCTCAACTCAGTACTTATAATTTCGAATGACCATTCGATTTTGCAGTACAAAGCAAAAAAGTCCCAGCAGCTGACAAGAACAAAGAAAAAGTTTAAGAACGTAACACTTTCTTAAAAGTATTTACGTCGTCAAGCAAAAAATGGTCTTCATAAGAAAATGTAGCTACTGCATCCCATCTTGTCAATTTCAAACATGTAAATGATAGTGCTCCATGCAGCATAATTTGCTGCTTTTTCACCGTCTTAAGAACAGCCCTTTCAACTAGAAT